TTATTATTAATTTTGGAAATGTTGGATTATAGTAATACTATTTAATTTAAATTATCGTAAAATCCATAAAATATCTACGGATTTATGTCAAAAAAGGATGAAAATTGTCTTTAATATTTATCTCGTTTATTTATATTTTCATTAACAGTATATATTTTATAATTATCTCCAACAATATTTTCATTATTATAAGTACATAGGTATCAGGGATGGGCCCTTCCGAATTTTTAAAAGCGGGAGAAATAAAAACGAAAGCGGAATGGGCAAAATAGATTAAATTAGGCGGAATACCGAGTAATAATTAAGCGGAAGTAAGACGGAAGCCAAAAGCTTCAAAAAAGGAAGTAGGCAGAAGATGGAGGTCAAAAAAGACGGAAATGACCGGAAGGCGTCGAAGGGATCCCATCCCTGGTATATTTCAATCAAAGATTACATTTATATTTTTCGTATCATTCTCAAACATTTCTGCATCGGAACCATATTCTGCATGTTTCCTTATGATTTTCATTAGCGTGATCTGTAGTCTGCAGAAACATGCGCAGGGAATTAATCATGTGGTTGACTCTATCATTACAATAAGTACTGGGACATACCATGTTCAGCAAACCCATTAGACTAGAAAATCTGTGCGCAACCTAAAATTTGTATTATTTTAAGTCCCCAAGTAAATTTCTCAAGAAAAGTTTGAAAAAAGTAAAATCACAAGAATCGAACATCTTTAGGGCTTATAGTGTATAATTTGTGACTATGAAAGTAGGGTATGCATCCCTGGTATATCCGATGGATTTTGATATGTTTGATTACTAGAGGCGAGATATTTAGGAAAGAACGTCTTAAAATCTAGCAAAAATTTGGCAGAGGCCGAAAACAATTGTATTGAGAAAATGGAATATAGTCCTCATTAACCAATCCATATGATATGAAAATTAAATCGGATTCATGTTTCTCAGATTTTGGGAAATTCGGAAAAAATAGGGCCTATTTCTAGCGCGACTTAAAAGGAGATTTATAAGAATATGTATGTATAACTCACTTCGGAAGACTTCTGCAAAAAAACTTGGCAATCGTTACACGATAAGACTCCTCCTTCAAAGAATTCACTAAAATAACAAATTAGTACTAACAAACAATTATACTAACAAACTATACTAACAAACTATTCTCTGACTGGAAATCGACAACCCTAATTTTCAAAAAATCTCTCAAATTCCCTGACTTTCGATAACGGGAACTGGGTACAACCCTATGAATTTACCAGAATAAAATACAGACGGTCGGACCTAATGTAGGCCCTAAAAAGATGTTTGGAATTAAAAAAAAAGTAGCATTTAGCATTGAAAAGATTAATTAGAACAAACGATTTAAGACAGCTGTCTGATATAATCGTACATAGTAAATCTTCTGTAGTTAAAGCTCTTCCAATTAGCAGCAAATTTTCGATTACTGTTTTTATAAATGTAGAGCATATTTCTGACTTTTCCTTCTCTTTAATACACATGAGCCGAAGTAAATTATCTGTATTGAGTTCTAAATGGTTCCAACTCTAAATAAAATTTTAAAGCCTAAACATTATATTATATTTATAAGACCACTGGGTGAGTAGCTAATTAAACATACCCTCTATCTAGGATAAATTTTCGAAATAAGATATACAATGTTTCTGTCAAAAGAAGATATCTTATCAAGAGGTTTTAATGTATATAATGAATTTCGATAGTACAGTATAAATAATATACAGTATAAATACAATATAGTATAAATAATAAATTTCGACTGAACTGGGCTATAGCTATTTCCCATCTTTGGCTAACCAGCTATAGCTATATCCCAGCTATAGATATTAGAACTGGGCTATAGCTATTTCCCACCTTTGGCTAACCAGCATCTCCAGTTGACCGATCTGATGTGTTACCCTTTACACCATACCATATCATTCATAGCCTTAGGAATTAAATAGCTATATGCTACACTATGAGAGAAGTACCTAGTTTTAATCTTTAATTTATTAAAGCATCCCATCTTCAATAATAAAATTAAAACTGACCAAATCAATTATGCGCACTAGATTCCGGCATACTTGACACGATTCAGTGCTATTCTCAGTTTCACAATTTTCACTTCTTTCGAATTTATTGTTAATGTTTCCATGACCCAATGCTTGTTTATGAACCACTGCTTGTTTTTTAAAATAAGTCCCTTTATACAATGATCTTAAATAGAAAAATGTTTAAATCAAAGGTTAATCATATGATTAATAGATTAATAGAGAGTTTAATCGTTTTGTGGCACATGCTTCAGAAATTTTTTAAATTTTAGTTCCGTCTCTTGAACTCACTTCAAGGCCATATCCAGCATAAATGTCACTGTTAGAGAAGAGGGAGAGTGGATTTATGTGTGGAGTGAAAGGAAGAAATGGTTGTAGAGAAGGAGGAGAGAGGATCTTACGGATAGTGGCAGTTGGATTTCTGATCGGATTTTCAAAAATTTCGGGTATCTCGCTAACCGGTGACATCACTGATACCCTGCACTGCTGAATTTTTAAAACCTCAACTAAATGACAGATTTCTCTTAAAATTCTTTATTTACTAGATAGACATTCAAATAAGGAAGAAATATAAACTTACTTATCATTAAGCAAATCCAACAAGAGTTTGCTTGTATTGGACATTATCTCCTCTTGATTTTTAATTATAGACTCAATACTATTGGTTAGCAAATCATCATAGATGGAATTTGAAATCACGTGAGAGTCGAGTTTAGAATATGACTCTAGAATATTAAACGTATTATGTTTGTATTTTATAGATGAATCTTTTAATATTCATTAGTAGTATAGCTATAAATTGAGGCCTGGAGGTTCATTTTCGATTTCCGAATCCGAAAAAAGTTTTAGAATTTTATAAATTTTTAAAAACCTCGGAACGCGTTTCGAGAGTTTATTTTAAAGAAATTTTCAAATTGATCTTTATTTTTTGAGAAAAAATTTAAACTTCAATTGGAAATTCTTTAACTTAATTTTATTAGTCCCCCTCATTCTCGTGCCACAAACCCTGTATAAATCTTATTCATTACCCAATTTTTAATTTTAATTAAACTTTACTTATTTCACGTATAGATCCATGTGTTAACATAAACATTAAATTTATTAAAGCAAAACTAAACACACATTTAATTAAATCCATTTTAATATAATTAATTCTTTTAATTAGATCCATTTTAATATTTAATTAAACTTGATTTCAAACAAATAAAATTGTAGGTGCACAAAATTCAATTTTATTTTTTAAAGCTAAAGTCGGAGTATGAATGAAGAGCCAAAATAAATCGAATTCGACAAGCGGTACCTTAATACCAATATACTATTAGTTTGTGGCTGCCTGATCCTGGTCAGGGGCGGGCGCAAGAGACAATCTCCTAAAAACGCAAGGCCAAAATCAACGGAAATAACGCAAAACGCGATGAGCCCCCCTGATCCGGGTACGATTTTAATATACTATTGATACCCCTAGACTTACAAATGGGTGTCTGGTTCTGAGGATACATATCCAAAATTGCCTAGATATCCGGAAATCTTCAGTTTGGATATCGGTTCAGGGTAACTAGGATCTGCCACCTTATTGAGGTTCGACTATGACCAATTTAATAACGATTTTAAATTTAATGTTAAAAATTAAAATACGAAATATTTTAGAAAATTCTAAACAAATATTTTTTATTTAAAATTGCATTGATTAACACTTTGTTTTAAATAAATTCTTTTACATGTATGAAATAAAGGTGACAAAAAAATTTTTAAATGTGACATAAATTTTTAAATAAAATTTAAATGTGAAGTGTAGTATTTAAATGTTAAAATAATAAATTGAATCACATGAAAAAATATATTAAATCAGCATAACTCACCCCAAAAAACAGCAAAAAATGGATGGGCGTTTATTCTTAAAAGTTGATAACATCACCACCATCCAAACGCCTACTAATGTTTTAATTTTTTGGTATATTTGCTAGGCTAAGAGGATTACACTGAGTAGAAAGAAAGCTAATCTAGGCATTTTCAACCTTAATAATCTTGATTTTATCATCTACTTATTATTACAATAAATTAAAGAATAATAATTATTATTATTCTCAAATTTAAAAATTCAACCTTCTACTATATTAATATATTTATTAGATGGACTAAGTTAGATAAATTAAAGGTTAAATAAAAAATATAACGACGAAAATAAATATTATGTTTATTTTTCTATATCTTATTTTGCCAAAATATTTCTCAAGCTAGCATTAATTTTTTATCATTAATTTTTAATTTTTTATCTTTTGCATTGTCAAAAAAATTTTCCAATGAAGGAAAGTGTCAACGAACCGATATTTTGACCAGAACCGGATCCAATTTGAGTTTCGGATCCAGGAACCGTAACTTTTTCTTGGTTCTGACCGGAACCGAAACTTGCGGTGAACTCTAATATGCATGTCTTAACTCTTTTTTAGTGTTTCCTAGAAAGTTTGAACAATTAATTAAAATCAAATAATCTCAATATTTATAAAATAAATTCAATATCATAACAAAATTAATGAGTATATATCAAAATCAAAGTTTGAAGTGTATGAAATTTAAAATGAAAAATTGTGAGTAGATTTAGGAAGGTTTTCAAGTCCTAGGTTAATAAGAATTTCCGCGTCTTGTTGTTCATTTTCCTTCGTTATTTTACGTAACTTTTTGTCTTGCTCATCATTTTTTCTTATAGATTACCAAGGCTTGTTTGATGTTTGATTTTAACCAGCTAGAATCAGCTGTTGTAAGAGTCGTGTTCCATTATCAAACTGAATTTATTTTTTAATTTATTATATAGAATTTAGGTTTGGTTGGAGATCAGGCAGTATAAGGGTATAAAACCTAACTGAGTATGTGGAATTTTGAAATATTTTTTGAAATTTCAAATAGGTCGTTGTCAATTTCATATTTTGATGTGTTTAGTTAACATCAACAAAGTGTTTAGCTATTGGAGTCGAAGGACAACTCTTGAGACACTCGTAATGAAGCGTGCAGCACCTAAATAAAATTAAAGTAGATTAAAGTAATTTTCTCAAAATAATCTTTCGTTAAGAAATGATTTATAGCAGAGAATGGACCGAGACCTATCTCGAACAATTTTCTATGTTACCGAGAATGAAATTTTCGATATACAAATTCCGATTCGCGTAAGATAATCATAGTCCAGTTTCCACAACACTCCTAGTCCGATCTCTACCCTATTTAATATTTAATAAAATAAAAGCTCTCACCGGTCACATTCGCATAACTTTTCATTGCATGGATCATTGTCCAAACATTTGATTTCCTTTTGAGCTTAAAAATTTAAATAATTTTTATGATTTAATTTTTATTAGAAATTATAAATCTTACATTCAAAGAGACCATCGTCAATTTCATATTTTAATGTGTCAATGTCGATAAAGTGTTTAGCTGTTGGAGTCGATGGACAACTCTTTAGAAGTCCATTCAAACATTCATGGTGCTTTTCACAGCACCTAAATAAAATTAAAGTAGATAGAAAAATCAAGATTTTTTAATTTTAAAAGATATAACTGGACTGGCCCAAAACCAAAAAAAATTCCACCAAAATTTGATCTTTCGATAAACAAAACTTACTTTCGAAAAGTCCGTAGTCAATTTCATATTTCGTGGTGTCGATATCCACGAAGTGCTTAGCCGGTGGAGTCAATGGACAACTCTTCAAAAGCTCATTGAGACATTCATGGTGCTGATTATACCACCTAAATAAAATTAGTGTAGAGATAGGGAAATCATGATTTTAATTTTAAAAGAGATAACAGGACTGGCCCAAAACCCAAAAAATTCCACCAAAATTTGATCTTTCGATAAAGGAAAAGGAGATCGGAACGAAACAGATCCCCAACATAAAACAGAATTTAAATAGTAGATAGAAAACGAATAAAATCTCCCAAATAGAGTTGTTGGTCCAACTAAATTTTCAGTTAACTGAAACCGAACCTACTCACAAATCGACCGAAACTTCGGTGTTTAGCCTGGAGTCTCCCTAACTACCCATAGATTCCAATATCTACTAAGCTCCAAATTCTAACACTATTATTTATTTAAATTTAAAAAAAAATTTTTTACTTGTTGATTTTGACGTCCGTTTCGTTCGTACTGCCACAACTAAAATTAAACAAATTTAATTTAAAATTTTATTGAAATTAATAAATTGTATTTAATTTTTAAATTAACTCACTGGCAACTGTATTTATCAAAACACAGAGCCCCTTGTGTATAGTGACGGCACGGAGGCTAAAAATAAATTATTAATATCATTTAATTTTAAATTAGTTTAACTACTTACACGGATCGGTTCAACTGGCGATAAAAGTTGACGGCATACCGTAGTCGTGGTCTAAGTAGTCGTGGTCGTGAGCGTTGTGGTGGTTGTCGTCGTGGTTGTTTTCTATAAAAATTAATTTTTAAAAGTATTAATATACATATTTTATTTTTTTTAAATTATCCATTTTTACGTCTTTTCAGTATGTATTAAAAAAGATTTTATTAAAAAGTTTTCAATAAAATTTTTTTTCAATTTTATTAAGAATTATTAAATTAGGAGGAGAAAAGCTCCAAAAAATTTTTTTAATTTAAAAAAACGCCTTGCCTTAGCAATTTTGGCCTTTCCATAATTCTTCCAGAATAAATTCTTCCATAATTCTTCCAGAATTTTTTTAAAGTTTAAGGCATACCATAGTCGTGGTCGTAGTTTTTGTGGTCGTTGTCGTAGTTGTAGTCGTGGTTGTTTACTATAAATATTAGATTTTAAATAGATTAATATAATTTAGTTTTTAAATTAAATCCATTTTTACATCTTTTCAGGATTAAAAAATTTTTTATTGAAAAAATTTTCAATAAAATTTTTAAAATTTTATTAGAAATTATTAAATTGGAGTGTAAATGCAATTTACTCATGTCAAGATCCAACGCCGGATATCCCATTGTCTCGTCAAGAAGCATTCCTTTCCTTCTGGAAAATGCTCCAGAATTCGGTCCAGCTAAACTTGTCCCGGATCATGGCTATTTTATTAAAAAATATTTTTTCATGTTTAATTGCTAGTACCCTGCTCTGGTGAAGCCTTGACGAGGAGACCTTTGAGAAGCTGTTCGACAGTGGTGTTGGCCAAGTAGAAATATCCGCTTAAAATCCTCTTTGTACATATATACAGGCATTACGGCCATCCTGCCAAGTGACGTAGAAGCTCAGATCCTTTTCCAGTGACGCAAATCCCAGAACTTCCTCAAGACGAATTCCCTCCTTACTTAAGGAGTTCCAAACTGAGGAAACGCCAAGCTTGCCTCGTATCTTTTCTAAAATAAGGATACTTTCTAAATATAAAATTTGACAGTTAAATTACGGAGTATCGAGGGCTGAGGGCATTTAAAAATTCTATTGGAGTGACTTCCGAGGGTCTATTTTTCTAAAGCTTACTATAGTCCAGCTCAGGGTTGCCGCGGGTACAAAAAATCTTCGGGTACGGGTTTCGGGCGGCAACCCTGATCCAGCTATATGCATTATAACTTCAGTTATATTATTATCACCATTGAAGAAGATTGCAATTCCGTTCCACTGAACTTCTTCTGCATCTTTTTGGTTGCAAAAACGATTTCCCAACACCGCTCGGATATCGTAAAGTCTAGAAACTTTGAATTCTGTTCCCTTGAGCACTGTATTGTAAGGTGACTTTCGTAGCATATTATAAATCTTCAAAAAAATTTTGGATATAAATTTTTAGATGCTATTTTCTTAAACTAACACCCCTCGGGTCTGGACTGAACTGACATACGAAGGAAAGTGACATGTCAGAAGGTGTCATGTTAGAGAGATTCGAATGAATTAATATTTAAATCATGTACCCATTGCATTTTGGCATGCTCTTTTACATTGTTGCATGTAAGGTCCTTGATTGGAGAAACGATTGGTTCAGATGCCTTGATCGAGTTCATGGTAGTGCTGATGGCGATCCATATGAGAGCGATGAGAAAATTCATCTCTAAATTCAATTTTATTAGCTTAAACACTCAAATTTTCTTTCTTACTAATCCAGCGATCGTTGAATACTAGTGGAAGCATTGCTCCATTGTTGAAATTATTGTATGAACGAGAACCATGCATCCATTCCACAGGCACCCCATGAAGCTCCCAATCAAAATTTGGATTGATGAGTTGGCTTGGGTAGCAGAATAATATTCCGATTAATATTTGAATATTATTGTCAATGATAAGAATTTTTTCATGGCCGAAGTTGTTTCATAAAGATCATCAGACCGTTCCATTGAAGCTCATTACGATCGGAATAACTTTTTCCATACATGGAGCTTCAAGTCACCAATCAAGGTTGTATTGGGGAGGTGGCTTGGATAACTGATTATTAATTTGGAGAATAAATAAAATATTTTTTGAGTATTTAATATTTAAATAAAATTAAATTTAATAAAATTAGGCTAATTACACTAATTTAATTACCAGCCAAATTTTATTTATTTATATACCCCTTTTTGGCTTAAATTAAGTTTGATGAATATTCATTTAAAATGGATTCTAAATTAATTATTTATATTAAAATCGTACAATTTCCCAATAAAATTTATATAATTTTGGTTAGTTTTGGCTAATAAAAAATTATTTTTAGAATAATCATAGGAACATTTTAATAATTTTTAATTAAATATTTAGTTGTGGGAAAATTTTAAATTTATGAATCAACAAAAAATAATATTTTTTACGTATAATTTATATTATTATTAATTTAGAATATGAAGGCTAACATTATACATACTACTACTATTTTATTTAAATTACCGTAAAGCCCCTAAAATACCTCCGGATTTATGTTAAAAAGAGATATCGCCGCTATACATTTTCATTATTATAGGTATGTATCAGAGATAGCTCCTTTGGAATTCTTTAAAGGAGAAGAAATATAAACGGAAGCGGAAGTGTAAAAAAATCAGAGTAGGCGGAATCAGAGTAGGCCCCCACCCACCTCGCTCGTCATCGCCCAAATCCTCATTTAGATACAGGATAATTGATCTCGAACCCCTCCCCATACCATTCCCTCAATAGGTTGACCACTTAACACTTCCATTTCCCCACTCCTTCCATTAAGATTTTTTATTTGAAAATTTTATTATTTATTGCTTTATTTAGTCAGGATCAAGATTGATACAATTATTTAAAAATATCAGAAAAAATCCTTTAAAAATATTATCCCAATTTAATTCATGTACCCTCTTTTAATTTTTAATTCCTTGTCTTCTCATTTTCCACCTCCTTTAATTTGTTTTTTACAATTCTTATTATAATAATGTCCTCTATGATGTGTGCAAAAGTTTCGGTCATAAAGAGGGTCGTATCCCGTGCCTTGTGGGCCACCCTAAAAAATTTATTTGTTATACCTATGTATATGAAAATCATTAATAATAATTACTATAGCCTCACTAATAATCACCTCTCTAATTACCTCACTTCACTCATCACCTCAATAGACCATTGAGGCTCGAAAAATTAGTAACGTATAATCTAGTTATCGATAATTTCTATTATATGTATGTACATCAATCACTCAACTAGACCCTGGGGGTGTCATAATAGTGAAATTCCTATACCCTAAAATGGAAGCATTTTTTAGATAGTAAGGTTGTAAATTTCGGTTCGGATATACAAAATTTCGGATCCGGATATCGGATCCAGATCAGGATATCAAAAATTTCGGATATCTGGATATCTGAAATTTTCGGTTCGGATTTAGGATACGGATATCCGAAATTTTCCAACTATCCGACAACTTATGAGACAGCTCACTTTCCTAGAAAACTAAAAAATATATCTAAAATAGAAGTGTGACTAATTCGAAGGGGAGGGTTGTGCCCCGACGGAGGGAGGTGAGGAGGGACACGGGGATAACTTTTAGGGGAGGCAGTGACACGGGGCTATGAATGAAACTATGAATGCTCAACTTTCCCGACTTTCAGGGACGGGGAACATCCCTAGTAACTAATTCGAAGGGTTCTAATCGTGAGGTTTTTAAATGATTTTATGCTAATCCTTTACCATTCCAATACAGTCGCAAGCGGCTAAAATACATTTTGCATCACTGTAAATTAGTCAAATTAAAATTTAAAAACGGAGAATAAAGCCTACTCCGATTTACACTTCATTAATTTAGTGCAGCTCGTTTTAAGAGTATCTTTACAAGACGACATTGCCAAACATTGATTTAGCAATAAGCTTATAGCAAAAATAAGGAAAATGGCATTTTTAGTTGTCATTTTGGCTCTTTTATTTAATTCTTTAGTATTTAAAATAAATTAATTCTTGCAATTAACACCCTCATTTTTATAAGGAAAGAAATCTTTAATTATACCAGCTATTTAAATTTTGAATAAAACGTGACGTCTAGGCTTGAAGTTTTTTTCCTCTGTAAATTTTTTAAGAATTTTATAAAAAAAATTTAGGAATTTTTTGAATAATTTTTAGCTTATATTAAGTTGGAAATAAAATATTTTATATTAAGGGAATTTTTTTCCAAAGCTTTGAATTCTTCTTCCAAATTAAATTTAGTTAGAGCAGATAAATAAATATTAAAAAGGTAATTTTAAATAGATAGACGTCAGGCCATAAGCATCGACGTCAGACCATGAGCGAGCTGTTGAAGGTAACTTCATATTTTCTTTCAGAGCCACTTTTCTCTTGTTTCACATGTCAGATAATTTTCCCTTAATCAAAAATCAAGTTGAGATGCCTCTAAAAAGCCATCAAGTGTTTAGCGAACTCGCCTTACCAGTCTAAAGTATCAATCCGAATGGAGACCAAAAAAGAAACTAGGATCTCTGCGGCAAACGGAAAGCTGAAGGCGTCCCATTCCAATGGATACCTCAAACTGGTAAGGCGAATTTGTAAAACAATTGATGAGTTTTTAGCGGTATCCCAACTTGAATTTTTCGAGCAGGGAAAATTATTTGACATCGGAAACAAGAGAAAAGTGGGTTTGAAGGAAATCTCAGTAGGAGGTGGGTAATTACAAAATTTTTGCTCATTTTTCTTCCTTATTTAGTTCTTTATTATTTAAGCTTTATATCATCTCATTATCTTTTATTTGAATAAAGTTATATAATAAATGCTCCCATCTCTTTTGGGTCAACTTTATTCAGTAATTCATTTTGTAATATATTTTAAACTAAACCTAACCAATTTTAGTAGATATCCTTTCATTTCGCTAATTTTTTTTTCATTTCGCTAATTTTTTAACTCTTATGCAAAACTTGTTATTATTGATACTCGCTTTATTTTTTAATATTTCAAATAAATTAAAGCCAATTTAGACCGATTTAAATGAAAAATTATTTTTTCGTTTGTTCTTGAATCTCACATCTTTCATCAATCACATGAAAAAGTTGAACAAAAATTTTTCACAAAGTCCAAATCTACCGCCCTTAGTCTCATATCTTAATGATGCAATTCCTGACAACTCTGCATAACCATAGCTTCGCTTTGCATAGGTTAAATTTCCACATGATGACCACCAATGATCCCCATATAAACGTAACATAGTCCAGCATTTAAACAATCTATCCGAGATGAATATTGGTAACTTCTTTTTAAGTTGCCCGACAATGTAACTCGTTTCTTTGTTGTAAATATCACTAAAATTTTTTTAGATAAAGATTAGAAAGATAATATCAGCTTTTGCAAAACTTTAGCTAAGGGCTGTCTTCGAAACTGACTTTTCTGAAGTGCCCACTTAACACAGTTTACCCCTATGCAGGTGCTCTACCAATGTCTAACATGGTCTAAACATGGGTCAAATAATACTTCTCCTTAATTTTGAAATTTGTATATATTGTTCTTTCTGTTCCCTGTGGTTGTAAAAAATTCCTTTTTCGACAATAAAGGTCAGAGGTGAGAAGGTTTGTTATCGAGTGTTTGTTTTTGTGCCGGTTTAGTCATGATTATGCTTGATAGTTTCAATTCTTAGGTTAAACAAATTATAAATCATATCTCGGTTGTTAGTAACTATTATCGTCCGAAAATTTCGCCTTAGATATATAACGCCGCATGTCCGCAAATGTTTGTCCGCAGGTTTTTCCTTCTTCTCCTATTCTCTCTTGTCATAAAGATTAAAAGAATTGTACATGATTAATAATGATAATGGATTAATTTCATTTTGAGGAAAGGTCATTTTTATTTTATTTTTTCTAGATTTTTTCAGATCAATGAATATTTTTAATCTTCCGCAGACCGAGGTCCCCCCTTTTGTTTTTCAATTTTAGTGATCTGTATCTCGGCCCATTGTTAAGACCGGGGTTGATTTTGGTGTCATTTTCACATCTCGACGAATTTTTTAACGGCTGACCAATTTTTACTAATTTATAGAAGGGCCTCTTATCTTTATCTACGCGTGGGCTACGCGTGGGCATGGCTACTGTTAGTTTTATCTACGCGTGGGCCTTTTATCCTAATAACTCTTTGAGAAAAGAGAAAAGGAATACTTGTTATTAGTCATTTACAGTTCTTTTAATTTTTATGACAAAAGAGAGGTTGTGAGTAGGTAAAATCTGCGGACAAACAGTTGCAGAGATTTGGCGGTATAATGCGATAGTAACCTTTTTCATTTTAATAAATGAAAAATTTGTTTATGTAAAAAGAGTAAACTTACTCCATCTCAGTCTTAAGTGTGCTATTTAGTTTCAGGGCAAAATTTCTTAGTTTCAGCATTTTCCCATCTTGCAATTCTAGAGAATATTTTATAAATTATTAGGTCATAAACCGTAAATATTTTGTAAAATTAAAATATAATTTTGTTTTGAAATATTTTTGGCCCCCTCATATTTAACAAAATTCTAAGGATTATTTCAAACACATTTTACTAAATACCTTATTTCCTTAAAAGTAACAAGCTTGGAATAACAATTACCCTTCTTAAAATTTCCTCCCTCAAGATAATACGGTATTTCTATAAAAAAGAAAGAAAATTTTTGTCAACTAATAAATTAAATTCTGATTATTTTAAATTTAATTTTACCTATGGATTCAAAATCAGATAAGTTTAATTTAATTCGATTGATGATAACATTATGGCCATAAACGCCAGTTTTGTGAGAACAATAATTCAGTAATCCTTCATAGAATTGTTCCTGCCCGCCAATTTTAGCTATCATGATTTGATATTGGTAACTAAATATGATTTTTAATATGGGTTTTCTAATATTAAAAACTAATTCAATTCTAGAAAGGCGGTACGTTGTTTAGATGGACTGGGACATTAGGAAGCGTGGTGATATCTTATATATTTAGAAAACACACTATATCCCTTGTAATCCCCAAATTTTAGCAAAACACACTATACCCTTGTAATCCCCAAATACCAGTCAATTTTTTGAAATCGGAGGATTTGGAAAGGGATTAAGGTGATATTGGCTCTCTACTGCTCAGTTATCATTACAATAATGATTCTTAAGTTTTATGAGATAAAAGATCGATATTTTTAATTTTTTTATTTCGTTTCGTCCGAAACAAGTTCATTTCGTTTCGCTCTGAAACTAAATAGAAAATTTTTTATTTCGCGATTCAAATAAAAAAAATTTTTATTTGCCCATCATCGGTTCCAAACGCAAAGGAAATTGTTGATTCGACCGAATGTTTTTTTTCGACAGAATGTTCGACAGAATGTCGGTCGAATCTTGAATTCAGACTTACTTTTTCTCTCCAGTTTCGCCAATGACTTGAAGAGCAGAATCAATTAGCATTCCAAGTAATCTAGCACTCGGAGACGTTATTTCAAGACTTTTGAATTTTTCTTCAATTATTTGATGGAAAACATTAGGCCAGGCATTTGCCTAAAAATATTGGGTTTAAAAATTGAACATAAAAATTACGGTACGTCCCACTTGTGTACCTGTACCTGGCCATATTTTGGGCTAAAACTTTTTCGATTCTTAATTGATCTAAATAATTTATTGTCAATCGAAATCTCTGAATGTTAGGATTATTTTTGCCAACAGGAGTGATTTGATCAGATCATCATAAAAAAAGTTACAGCCAGATAAAAATCAAAATCATGACTGCAAGCATTTATCTGCCTGTAACTTTTTTTATGATGATCTGATCAAATCACTCCTGTAGGCAAAAATAATCCTCACATCCAGTGCTTTCTATTGATATATGAATTATTTAAATCAATTAAGAATCGAAAAAGTTATAGCCCAAAATATGACCAGGTATACAAACGGCCGGTACACCCCTACCCCAAGATTAATATATTATTTACTAAGGAACTGCACAAATAATTAAACGTATGAATTGCAATTAAATTAATTTCATCTGCAATTTGAGTAGTATATTTTGTCATTTGTTTTTCATTGCCATGGAATGTAAGGTTGCTGCAGATGGCGGCAATGTACCCCTAAAAATTTTAATTTAAATTTTGAGTAAAATTTTTAGTGAAATGATTACAATATCTATCAAGTGATCACGGAGCGATATGGCATATGCTTCTGCACGGACTCTATTAAAATTGGTGTGTACCAAAAGTTCATGCAACATACAACTAAATATAAAATAATTTAAAGTATTATACCGGCTACCTGACTTATGAGGATCAGACTTTTGTGGACCAGACAATTGGAGATCCGACATTTGAGGACAAAATAGAATTGAAAAAAATTTTTTAATTGGCCCGAATTTTGGGTGCACTTTTAAAAAATAGCTAATTGGAGTTTTTGAACGAAAAATATAAAACCTCCTACGATTTTTGACTAATTGAGCCCTATAAGTCGGTACATGTTTGTCAAACCGGTATACATTTACCATCAGTGCTGGGTATTTGCCATTTGTTGGCTCCGGCTCCGGGCTTTCAAATTCTTGGCTCCGGCTAAGGGCTTTCAAAATCCCCGGCTCCGGCTCCGGAGCCGGGGATTTTCGGAGCCGCTCCATGTTGGCTCCGGGCTCCGGGTGGAAAATCAATGAATTATTTTTCATTGGGGGGATTTGGGAGATAAAGGGGGTTTTGAAAAAAAAAGACTAAAATTAATCAATTTAAAAAATTTATCCAGCTTTATTTAATGAAAAACATCTTATTATAATTTATTTTCCAAATAAAAACAATTATTTAATTATTTGTTGTGATATTTTTCGAACCTATAATTGGATAAAACTCGGACCTAACTGACTATCCACTTAACCCAGGGTTTCGATCTCGAATTTTTAAAAATCCGCAAAATTGATCGAAAAAATCCGCATTTTATATCAAAAATCCGCAAAAAATTATTAAACCCAAAAATTTAATCAAAATCACTTTATGCATGGTATTTTTCGTCTTCTACAATTGAATTAAGCAATTTTTTTATTACTAATGATCATTTTATGAAAATCCAGCAACTATCTGAAAAATCATACTTGCATTTTTGTCGCGGAAGATGTCGCAAATTTTTATTTCTTCCATTTTAAGCGCCGCAGGCGAAAATTTTTTTAATTTCGGAAGATCCTTAAGCCAAAAATCGTTCATTTTTAGGCCAGGAAAAAAATTTTGAGGATTTTGGAAGATCAAGGACACAGATTCCTTCCTTTTTTGCGCCGCAGACGAACATTTTGAGAATTTTGGAAGGCCAAGAAGCCAGATTTCTTCCATTTTCAGCGCCGCAGGCGAAAATTTTGAGGACTTCAGAAGGCATTTTTACTAAAAACCACAAGACTTTTTACTAAAAACCACAATAATGACATTTTTACTAAAAACCACAAGAAAATATAAAAAATCCTCATAATCTTCAAAAGACCACAAAAATCCGCAAATCCGCATTTTTAAAAATAATCCTCATCGCCCTATCAAAAAACCACAAAATGAGGAAAAATCCGCAGATATCGAAACCCTGACTTAACCACACCAACATTACAAAGGAAATGAAAGGAAATCTTTTTTACCCGTCTCAATTTTCTCTTCCTTTCCTTTTCACGCCTACCATCTTTGCTTACTTCTTTTTCTCCAACCCATCTTTAGGGGTGTATAGCCGGAGCCGTGGGGAATTGGAAAACCTTGGCTCCGGCTCCGGACACTTCAAATTCTTGGCTCCGGCTCCAGTTCCGGCTCCGGGGTTTCCAAAATCTTAGCTCCGGCTCCGGCTCCGCCGGAGCCGGCTCCGGAGCTAGTTCCCGGACCCCAATTTCGGGTCCCCAAATGTCGGGTCCCCAGAAGTTTGATCCCCAAATGTTGCGACATGATTGTATTTACAGGTCGAT